TTAAGGCAACGGTCCTGTTTGGCTTTGAGGTTCCCGAGAGTCTTTGTCCAACGCAAGGGGGGTAGGGGGGTGGTGGGGGCCGTAGGGGAGCCCGGGGGCACCCTCCCTCCTCCTCTGCCCGAGGGGCACCACCTTCCTCCCCGCCACGTCCCCTCCTTTGGCAGGGAGAGGAGCGGGTGGGGTCGTCCAAAGGGAAGCTACAGATTACTACGTCGTCATCGTATGTACACGGCCCCACGGCCCTGCCCTCGGGGCATCGGGCCAAGACGGGGGTCTGCCTCTTCTCCCCGGCTCCATCAGTGGGGGCTCTTTGTGCTCAAGTTACCTGTGAGAGGAGGGCGTGCAGGCCCAACGGCCAAGTCCACCTGAGCTCTCCCTCCCTTCCCCAAGCTGATCGTCCACCCTTGGCCTGGAACCAGCCACCAGCTCCTAGGAGTCTTTCAACATGCAGATGCGGGCATAGATCTTCAGCGCCGGGCCCAGCTTGATGTTCATGGCGCTCATGAGATGGTCCTCCTTCAGCAGCAGCAGCGCCTGGCCATCAATCTCTTGGGTGCGGAACTCCTCGGCGATCTCCTGGCACCCTGCAGGGTGGAGAAACGGACCCCATCAGCTCAAAAGACTCTCCAACACACCAAACTGACAACCCCCAAGACGTCCAGCAGCCCAACCTGGGGGACGGGCAGCTTCCTGGATGTAAAGGAATTTAAGGATGACCAGAGTGGGACAGATTGAGGTCAGTCCTTTGAGGGAGGCAAAGTCACCACGCAGATTCCAGGAATGCTACTTTATTGCCACAGGGCAGGGTTTCTCAATCTCAGCAACTTTAAGATGTGTGGACTCCAACTCCCAGAATTCCCCAGCCAGCAATTCTGGGAGTTGAAGTCACACATCTTAAAGTTGATAAGGTTGAGAAGCCCTGTTGTAGGGTATCATAACAGAACCTTGGAAGCCTGCCAGAGTTTCTCTCTACTTCATCTTATACCTAACAAAATCGAGATGGGGTTATTTTAAGTTTCTGGCACTTGCTTTAACTTCTCTCAATCCCTTTATGCTTGAGGCTAGAGGCCACCCTTCTCATGGCACTACAGGTGAATAGTGGTCCAAGGAGACAGGGCTCCAAGTTCTGCCCCCCGGGGGGCTCTTCAGGGCCCTTGCAGAGGTTTCTTACCAGGCAAGGAGTGGATGAATTCGTAGACGTCCTCCACGTTCCACTTGGTGGGCTCGCTCGGCAGGAAGTGGCGCTCCATCCCCACCAGGTCCCGCACATGGACATCGGGTAGCTCCATGTCTCGCTCGCCCTGGCGCCGACGGGAGGCGGACGAGCTGGCTGAGATGGGGGACAGAGGCTCCTCGTAGCTGGAGTTGTCCGAGCAACGGCTGGAGTCCTCTTGCCCATGGCTGAGCTGGAGCGAGCCGGGCACCGCCATGGGACCAGAACTGGGGGGCAGGGAGGCTGGTGCCTATGGGCCCAAAAAGGGTACAGACCAGGTTGGCACAGTCACCCTCTTATCCATTCTAGCTCACAACTGCTCCCTCAGATTATCTGAGATCTTAGAGCCTTGCTGACCCTCCAGCTCAGGAAACCCGCAACTAGCGACGGCAGACCTCAAAGTCTTTTATGCTGTCTTGGAACAATTCTGGGATTCATTCCATTAATTCAATATAAATTATACATAATGATAAAAATGCAGAATTGAACCTCCCTTTTTTTTATTTTTAGCAATGTACCACGTGTGCTCCTATATCTGCTTCCTTGATCATTTCCCTACTCCATCACTATACACATCCACAGGGTGTGATTCTGTGTCAGTATTTCTCAACCTTGGCGATTTGAAGATGGACTTCAACTCCCAGAATTCCCTAGCCAGCAATGGTGGCTGGGGAATTCTGGGAGTTGAAGTCCACCCATCTTCAAGTGGCCAAGGTTGAATAACACTGTTCTGAAGCAACTTGCGTCAGAGAGAGATGCTTCATCCTCAGCACCAAAAACCAATGTCATCCAATTTGTTGGTGCAAATTATTCCCATTTTACAGATGGGGGAACTGAGGGTCAAGTGTTGCAAGAGAAGAAATCCAAACAGGAAGGCACCATAATCTTCCTGCAACTGCCCAACATTTTAGAGGAAGGAGAAGGAAGAGAAACTGCTCCTGAATTTCTCCACAATGTGAAAACAGTTCTTGAAGCCTGAGTACCTTGCACTGATGAGACCCCCCCTGCCCCTCTCCCACCAGCCTCACCGGTTTCTTGCTTTCTTTACTGAGCGATGGAAGGGCTCCCTTGCAGGGCCGGCGTCGACAGTGTGAAGGCGTGCTCGGTTTCTGAAGCTTGCTGCGGTCTGGATGGAAAAGGCCTACTCGCTTGGTGCAACCCACGTTATACCTAGGGGAGGGGACAGAGAGGTGAATACGCTGGTGTGGAGAAGGAAGACCAAGTCTCCCATGCAAATCCAAGCCAAGTTTGATCCTGCTTAGCGTGGAGATCTGGGTGTCCTCAAGCAACCATTGGCCAGAAAGATCCAACTTTGCTCCATGGGGATGGCCTAATGTTCTTGGCGAAGTACCCAGGATAGGAAGGCTGTACTCCAAAGCATTAAGCCTACTTTTGGGTTTACCCTGCCATTATGGACAGTCAGAGGGAGCTCCGGGGCCCAATCTCAGTCAGGTTTTGGGTTCAGAGGTACCTCTTTGCACACGCCATCGAGCAGAACCGTTTGGAACGCTTGAACTTGTACGCAAAGTCGAGCCGGCCGCAGAGTTCGCATTTCAACTTCGGGGGCGACGCCTCGTCTTTGGATTCTGGGGAGGGAGAGCAAAATTTTTCAGTCAAGGCTGCCCGGCAGGACCCAAGGAAAACCCCACGGCAGCTGGGCAAACGGGCCTGTTTTCTACAGGCGACAGATCCCTCGGGGTTGGGACAAACGTCTTGATCAAGGAGAGGGAAAAGAAAGGAACCGAGAGTGGACCTCCACGGCTGGAACCCCCTTGCACCCCAAATTTTAAAAGGCTTGGGAAAATTATCATTGACCCCACAACCCACAGACACTTAAAAATCTTTGAAGGAATTATCAGCCCGGGGGGAAACATAGGGGAGGGGAAGCTGGGGAACGAGACTCTTGTAGAAAAGTGATGCTTCTTCTCCCGCCTGACCCCAAGCCCTCAAGGGCCATCGGACCCTGCCCCAGCCGAGAGGCACTCTGCACGTGCCCAGAGTCCCCCTCGCCCTTCCCTTTCCCAGGCCACCGGGGCAGACCGACCTTGCAGGTAAGGGTCCTCCATCTCGGAGTCGGTGGTGGTGGTGTCTTGCAGCTGAGGCTTCTCTGTGAGAACCGCCTGAGCATACTTCTTCAGGCTCCCCACCAGCAGCGAGGAGCGACCCACCTGCCCGGGGAAGAGCACGTTGGGCGTTTAGAGAGCCGCCTTCCGAGAGATTTGGAGCCCCGCAAGAACTGGGGGCGGGGGAGAGGAGGAATACTTCCCGTCCCCCACCCAACCAGCCACCGGGCAGGTGAAGGAGAACCTGGCCGTCCGTCCATCCGTCCACCCCCGGACGCAGAAGGCGGCCACCCGCAGCCCCCTTCAATCCCACCACCAGCCCTCCAAGGCCCCCTCCAGCACCCAGCTCCCCTCCCCGCGGGCGGTGG